GTTTGATGTGTCAATCCGAGCGAGCGTCGATCGCTATCAACCGATAGCTTCTATTGGGCAACCGCCACGCTTTGTTATCCTAACGGACTTATAAATATCGACGGTCCATGAACAGGCACCGAGCGGACAATACCGGCCGCCTTTCCAATAAATATTTCCGTGAAGCCTCAATTTACATAGACAACCGGCCGCGACAATTATACGTTTCGAATGAGTTTCACGCGTCCTATTTCTGCTTGTAACACGGCAATCGAGTACGCGGCCGGTCGGCGCTACGATCCGCACACAAATAAATCGTTAAGCGAATTTCCCAACATGGCTTCCGCGGATACGGCCAATGGGAGGCAGAGGGCGGTGCGGGGCGGGGGCGGCCCGGCGCTGCATCTTCGTGTGAAAATTTAAAAAATTACGAGCACCGCTTTTATTTTTATGACCGCTTCGACGATGCTCGCAGGCGCCCGTCTACCGACGTGATAAACTTCCACCGAGACACGATCGGGAATCGAGGACTTATAAATTACTTTATAGCTGTACACAATATTTGTGCACTGAAATTACTTGCCCGTCAACTACACTCAATCGTATGTATGTACATATGTATGGATGATTTAAAAACTGTTTAACTTGTACCTATCTAACATGTCTTATTTATGTAGTGCATTTCTTCATACGCCTCAAGCCTTAAATATCTTTTATCCAGACGCCAAACTTATATTATGGTTTTCAAATCAGGAGTTATTACAGTTGGACAGTATCGACTGTAGTATGTGTGCTTGTGTTGCTAACACACACTTAGGGCAAATTCCCGTCTATGGAAAAGTATAATTTTGTACTACAAAAGACTTCTAATCACCTAAAGCCACCAGGAGTTTATGTACTTTATGAATAAATAGGTAGCGCCGTCAAAAGAACCTACAACATCAAAGTTTTGTCGACCCTCGCTCTATTCCGAGAGCCCTTCCGTCTATACGTACCCGTTCTTATGTGAACGACACACACAACGACACCGCTATTACATTTACATTACTACACGGCTGAAACTATCGTGGTGTGAGTGAACACGATGAAAATCTTTATTTTCACGCTCTATCTCTCTTTATCTAATCGCCCCGGTCAGATAAGGACGGAGCGCCGGAAAAACTGGCGCGGGGCGAGGGGTAAAGGCTACATCGATTCCGCGCTTTCACTGCTAGGGGCCGTGTAAACCTTTAAAAACATTGCTTTTGCCGCGCGATTGTCATCTCTAACTTTATATGGATAAGAGGAAATTTTCAGTGCGGTGTTGGGCCTGGTAAATGGATTGCCTCCCCCTTGGGGGTTCTCATAGTGGGATCTAGATGGTGTAGATATGCTGATAGGCGGCGGAGTGTGCGCGCGATGTGACTGTGTCTGTGTGAGTAGCGCATAGCTTTGTGTTTTCCGGCTACAAAATCGTGTAGGTATGTATTGTAAGAGGGCTGCTTCCGGGCTGGATAAATTTTGCTTGTGTTAGCAAATATATGAGGGGACGTAGGTATCCCTTTTTGCAATATAATTTTACGTTGTAGCGCAGATAGGTAGATAGATTAGGCAAGACGGAGGCTGTGATTTGATTTGATTAGGAGGTGTTTGCAGTAGGGTCGGGGGAGATAACGCTGATTGGATCGCTCGGGGGGCACGGCTTTATGGAAATATGTTTTTAATGTGGGTGGTTTATTGAATTAGCGGAAGTTAGTGTGAAGCGACGCGAGACTAATCCGTTTGATGTGTCGCTGTTCATAATTAACTGGAGGTTCAATGGTTCGGTAATATGATTTAGATATTAAATACGTGATATTATCACTTTGTATCTACAGGAATTTTGTTTTGGAATTTAAAGCAGCTGTTTCTGAAGCTTAGTATAATACGAATTATTCTTGAAATTAGGCAGATAAGTGCTATTGTGCAGTGTCCACTTGATACGGTCAGCGTGCTTCTTTATGCCGTAAAGCCGCTTGTAAGAGCACAAAAGCGATGTTTTTGTTCACGTCACGTTCACAATGTAGTCGTCAGTTGTCGCAGCTCTTAAGTTTACACTAGAGTGGAAATTAAAGTGGCCAGGAACAGTACAATCTGTTTGTGATCGTATTTATCTTTGTCGGCATTTGTTTGTTTTTTTTTGGCGTGTATGTAAGATATCGATCCGAGAGGAATGTCGTTGACAGTGAAATGGGTTCAACAATTAATAAACCTCTCTGATGTAGAGGACAAGTGCTCGAATGCTTCGAATTCTTTGTATTTTATACAGCCGTGTTGTTTTTTAAACGACTATGAGAAACAATCCTTAGATACCTACTGGTGATCGATAATGTATCGTCTAGGAATTTGACGGACATTATTTTTATCAAAAAATGATACGTTTTATGGTCTTTAATAAATAGAGGCACATTTTATACGGGGTCATCTGAATACGGCGTTGGACTGGCAAGGTCCGCGCAATAAAAAATGACCCAAATAAAAAATAATCCAGCTCGTAAAATTTACGAGTTTTTCCAGCCATTTCAGCGTTTGAGGAGAGAAAGTAATTCGTCCATAAAATTACGAGTAAACAGCCGTTTTTCCACTGAAATAAAACCGGGGGGAGAAGTCGGTTGACTATGGGTTGACTTCTGTAATCGGCTTACCAGTCAACCCCTCTGATTTAGCCCTTCTCCCATGGGATCACGCGTGATGCACCAACAGTTATAACTTGATGGGAACTCTTATCTCGCTTAATATAATCGGATTCTGGTAATTGAGTTGTAAACTAGTGCAGTTAATTTTGATATTAAGCGGATATGTGTTGCGAATTTATATTGTTAGACCTACTTATATTTACTTGGACATTAGAACAGTTTATGTTGCATTAAATTTATTGCATTACCTACCTATCTGAGACCTTAACTTTGTATGTATAACTTTAGTATTTCATTCTACGTTCTTTTTGCTTGCAAGATATTTACATTCATACCAGCATCCATCTTAGACAGCACATCTGTCACTCCGACATTTATATTTATTTAAAACATCTCTCAATACGACATAAATACATAAAAAGGCACAAAAACAAAAAGTATGAAACTCGTATGACACAAAATGGAAGTTGGATTCTACAGTGAGAAGAAAAAGTGTGTGTTATAGGCTCGGCTAATATGGCCAACTCTAATCTCATGCAGGCACAAAGGAGCTGCCATGACGCAGCAAATATTGACGCGAACCATTTAATATTTAGGTATTCCAATATGCAGAAGTACTGGCGAGTCGAATGATTGTTTCTGGTTCAATAAGAAATTTGAATTTTCAATTTTCTCTTTTTAAATTTGAAATGAGTATGTCAAAAAAGGAATGATTCGTTTATAAAGAATGTGGCCTAAGATAAGGTTAAATTGCGTTTTAATTTCTGAAATGTTTTATTTTGTATACGAAAAAATTTACAATTGGTATTGCAATAAAAATGTGAAGGTATTTAGATAAATATAAAAATTTTACGTTACTTCTAGGAACACAAAGTTAAATTAAAGACGGCCATGTTTTTAAACTGATATCGATCTAGAATGATAATAAATTTAATCACATACATTACATTTGTTACTTGAACATGATTTACAAATAGGTTCTTTATGTTACAAGATTAAATATAATATTTAAAATTCCTTGAAGGCCAGTCTAAAGATAATGTTATCATAAAATCAAAATTGTGTTGTGTGAAGTTGATAAAATGACTTAAGTTTTATCATTGAATATGAATGATAATAGTAATATTTAATGGATTAAATTAAATGCGCTGCACTGATTTAATATTGCGCAGTAGTAAGTTTGGATAATAATTGTATAGAAACATGGAAGACTTGTGTGTTCGACAGTACCTCTGTTTGAGACCGACACAGTCACTTACGATATTAAATCGGACAATACGACGGTGCGGTCACGATAATCTTTGGTAGTATTCGATTCTAGTTACCGAGAACTTGAGCCGGTGTCCCGAATAGTTCGCCTGTTGTAATGTTTTACGACCTCAATGCTTTTTATTCGATAAATGACATGACAAATTAATGGATTTATTATGAGTGGGATTGCGCCGGCTCTTTTTATTTTGGTGTCGGTTTAGGACGAATGCATTTTTAATTGAGTGAGGCACTTTTGTGGACTGTATAAAACGGCCACCGCATGCCGTTGATATTTTTTGTCTGATTGACGGGTAGTAATGGGCAGGTGCGTAAGAGAGCTCGCCGATAGCTACCTCGCTTTTTCGTTTCGATATTCGAATATTTACTTTTTGTCGGTCGCCTCGTTTTGCGAGTAACCGTCCGTGTTTTATGTTGATTGTTTTAATGTACCTACATTAATAGGGTAGTAAATTTTGTCTCTATAATGTTTTCGGTAATAATATTTAGAGGCACGCGTTTTTTTACCACTTCAGGTTCAGTTATTGGTTTTGTTGGTACAATTAATTTATTTGTATATGGACCTACATCCACGTTTTAGTATAAATTCAAGTGGCGTTCCTTATCCTTCCATTTATGAATGCGATATAATCATAAATTTAACATTTGTGGGACTTTGAGTTTCGCATTCAACAGTTACATTCTCGTGTTATTATTAGCTTTATTATGAGATTGCCCTTTGAAAAAATAGTGCATTTAATATTAAACGTATTACTGTCACTTTACTGGCCAATATGTTATTGGCCGTTGAGTAGGTATAATTGATCAAAATTGTATATTAAGTATTATTTTTGAAACTTCTACAAACTTATTTTGAATTTTTATTCCAAGTTATCACATGGATTACCTACCTTTATGTATTTAAAGTCGTAGATAAGAACGTTTCTAAAGTTTTCATCTACTAAGTACTTGCGTGTGATGTGATCCGTTTTATATATCTACACTTTCACTTTTTTGTTTTATTTTAGGCTTTATTGAGACAGGGCATAACCTCAGCAATGAATATAAGTTTTCAACTACTACTATAATAAGATTAACCTGTATGTTTATTTGTTACAGTCGCTACAGAGCGCAGCGCGACGGGCAGGCACCTCCTGTGCAAACTGCAAGACGACGACGACAACGCTATGGCGACGCAACCAGAATGGAGAACCAGTGTGTAACGCATGCGGCCTTTATTACAAACTACATAATGTAAGTACTTATTGCCTTAAAACTGATTTTCAAAGTCTAAATAAAGAAAAAAAATCCCTTTAAAAATTTAAAATTTCATTATTCCAAATACAAAAAAATTAATCAATCCGACCTAAAAGCGCGTTCCTTATAAGAATTCTCTATTTAAAAAAAATATTAAAATCTATTTAACAATTCGGTCACACGCGTATAGAATTAATTTTAAATTTAAAATAACTTTAATAGGCGCGATTGATCGACTAGTTCTGAATGGCAATATAGGTATCGAATTCCTTAAAAGGAAAGTGTTAAAAAAACAAGTATTTTAAAAATTATATAATTAAATACAACGATTTGTTGTTCTACCGACGGCAAGTTATTGTTGCCAGTGGACAAAATTGGAACTAATAAATTGCCAGTAATATATTTCATTTGTAAGAAAACTAGTGACACTGTCAACTGTATACGTAAAATGGTATTTTTAATCGGTTGATTGATATAATAATAAACTCGTGTCTGGCGCATACTAATTTAATTTGTTCTTAGTTTGTATAAGATGAACTTTGACTTGCCAATCAAACATTGTCACCTTAAGAATTGTTCATTTTATCCAAACACAAAAAGTTTTTATTCATGCCATAGTTAAATGCAATTTAACATCCCTCCTTTTAAATCAGCTAACCCTTCATCTGTAAACAACACCCCCAACAATTCAAATTAAAAATCAAATCGTCTATAACCGTAATAAAATACCTCTAATAAACTCGCATAAATCGGTCCCCAGTCAGTTAATCTGGGGGTCTCCCTTGCGATATTCTCTTTGGGGACGAGACGATAACTCTGTGATAGATATTTTGGGGTCAAACCCGACTTGTAATGGATGATTAGATAAATTTTTCACCTTAAGCTATTATGTATCATAATATAAGAGAGCTTACTTTTGATACGCATTTTCAAAGCTTGAAAACTACTGAACGGATATTAATAAAACTTGGTAGGTGCTTATACGTCATGTATGAAGAATTTTAAATATAACTAAGCTAATTCTTTTTACAAACAGTTTGTGAAAGACAGAGCAATTAGGCATTCCTTTGCCTGTGTTTCAAATAAGTTAAATTAAAATCGGTTTATCAGTTTCTTAAGCTGTATTAGGTTTTATTTAGGTAGTTAGGATTTTTGTATTTGGAAACTTGGCTACAAGTGAGACTTTAACACATTTGGAGAGCCATGACATTTCATAGTCTTTTGACCGTACTTACCTCCAAGCAAAAATAACATTTTTTCGGTGACATAATTATAATAGCTATCATAGCATATCTAAATCAGTCCTAGCCTGTTAATCTTGTCCCTTGATAGCCTCCCCTGGGATGTGACGGTATCTTGGTGACAGATATCTAGAGGGGCACCCCAACTTGTAATGCGTCATAAAAGCCAATACGATTGTCTCAGATGATTTACGACTGTGATAACATCTCTAAACGGTTAAATAAAGTTAGTATTACGAAAAGAATAATGCGATTCTGTTTATCAATTTAATTAATTAGAGATTGATATAGAATTTTTTTTCTTAAGTTTAATATTCAAATAGTGATGATCAAATGACATTTCCATTGTTATAATTACAATAAATATGATTTTATTTTTAATTTATCCACAGGTGTTCAAATTAATTAACATTGAAAAATAATTTATGATTGAATTGACATCTGAATGACATAGTGAAATAGTATGATTCGTTAATTGTAATGACCTATAAAAAGAAATAAAATTTGGTAAGAATATAATTATCAACCTACCTATTTAGCTAATGGACTGTAAGATATATAAAGGGAAAGGTATGAGATAAAATAACAAAAGAGGGACAAGATTATGAATTGTGAGGTTATTCAATTAGTCGCATTACATAAGCTAGTGACAGTGGCACAAAAATTAAATGTACCGCCATTTTGTATCAAGATTACTGATAAAGCGTTACCTCACGGTTAAACAATGGTAGCGTTTTCAATATCCGGGTGTACCTGCAAAAATAGGAGCCTTTTTATCGCTGATTTAACAAGATGTAAAGTTTAAATGTCAAACAGTACTAAGTTACAATTCTCACGACTCTCACAACCCCGACGAAAACAATAAACGTAAACCCTCACGCGATCCCGGTCCGCAGTACATTCGGCATTCATACGGTAAAAGTACAAACATCACGCGGAACGCAACAATGACAAAAATTAACTGTCAAAGGGACCCTTCGCTGAGGGCTCTCGACATTTTTTACATCGAAATGTATACTTTATTGCCAACTCTGAGCATCGGAGCAACAATGTTGTTTGCTCTAATTATTCGGAAGGAGCGACAAAGGAGCGAATGGGAGTGCCTGCTACTTCAGACGTTGAAGGCATAATGACGGGGGCACAATACGGGAATGGCGGTAGCATTGTCAAGGGTCTGCTCCCGCCTCTTCATACATATTTATATACGACTCACTTACACATTCGCTACAGATTCCGTGCCCTTTAGAAGCAACATTCCAAGTGCAGTTGATACAATAGATACACCTAATTAATCGAAAACATTCGCTAAATCATGTTTTTAGTGAAACCATGAATAGAAAATGAAGATAGATATTCAAATTTTGACATTAGTTGTTGACACATAAAATTGATACCCGGATTGTAAAGTCTCGCTGTTTAAATACTACAGTTTATTCAACGGGCCAGAATAATTTAGCAATTATGTATGCGTATACATAAACATATGTATCTTATGAGTGTAAATCTAACATAATTTAATGGTGTAATAAATTAGGTGTTATGTCGTGCGAACGAGGCTCAAAAATGTCTTCGTTTTATTTGCGACGATTTGCATTCTTAGTTTTTATAACGGTATTTACCTTTTTCTTATTAATTTAAAAACATTTCAATGATATCTTGTATACCTATTAAATCCGCAGAACAAATAAAACATATCTTATTCGGTTTCAAAGTTCTTAAATATCATTTGGTGCGTACCTATAAATCGGCTTCGGAAACCGACGGCACATGTATAGAGATATCAAAAGCAATTTTAAAGTAACAATGTGTAAATAAATACAGTATAATATTAGCCAGCCCTCGAGGCGGACACATCGTGATCGATTTCACTCAAAAAACGCAATTCATACAACAAAGCACGAGCGCATTGTGATTGTGAACGAACGTCACCCTCCCACGAGGGATCTAATCGTTTTGATACTTTTATGAATAAATCAAAAGCATTTTTTTTTTACTTCGAGAAAGCCAATTATGAATATTACTTGTAAGCAGTACCTAATACAAGATAATAGTTATTTTCTATTTTTAGGATAAGATAAAGGAAAACTTCTAGAATGTGTTACATGAATTGAATATGTAATAAAACCTCTTTTGCTTATCTGTAAAATCCTAAAGATAATTTTTATTCGGCTCTGAAAATTACCTTTTAGAGAAAAATGAGCGAGCGTGAAATGTTCTTAAAATTATAGTTATATAATTAAAATGCCAAATATATGCGTAATTCTCTAGAATCATATTAATTATGGTAATTCAGAGTTAAGGATTATTTTAATCCTAGAACGTTCGATGTTATCTCTGTGAATAACCGAAAGTGTGATATTTTATACAATATAAAAATAGTTTGTAAAATATAGGATATTCTCACGGTACTAGAAATTCGATAGCTGTGATTTGTGGCTTCAGATAAGATAATTATAAAAACATACCTGAAATATTCATAAAGATTTACGGAAACATGGTTCACCACCCGGTTATGCTAAAGAGTAAAATAATACCAAATTCCAGAACACATTCGAAATTTTACCAAGCAATCAGTCTTTCTATTTCTTTTACGTACATAAAGATATTATTGTACCATGGTAAAATTTCCGAAGAAGGTCAAATATCAACATCGTTCGAGCGGCGTATTGCTCAAACAATGCTCAAGTATGTTTACTCAAAATATATCCTTAGTGGCCCTATTTGGTTGTGTAACTTAACTATAAATGCCCATAACCGCTCAAATTGCCCTCATACAGGCCATACAGACCCAAGAAGCCGACAAGGGTCTTGTTATTTCGGCCTGAGAGCTATAACGCTTTGTATTATTGTTTTTAATAAGAACCTTTATTGGATTGTGATACTGTATTGTTTGATTGATGTGGGAAACTCAATGAGGATTTGTTCATGTTAATTTTTGAAAGGCTTATTTAAGTAACATTTTCAAGGAGTTTTATTGATGTCTGTGGGAATTAACAAGACCGTAAGCTCAAAACGAAATTGTAATGAAAAGTGTGACAATGAGTTGCTGAATTTGCCAACACGGATGAGTTGACGATTCCCAAACTATTTACAGTCCCAAAGGGCCCGGACTAAAATCACTAAGTACCAAAATGTGTGATTGAAAATAAATTATTTATTTGGCGATCCACAATGGCCGGTTAATAGGATTACAGTGTAGCGTGGGTTCGATTCCCGTACCTGCGCACCGCAACAAAACGAACCATCCGTATGTTCGGATCACTTTTTATAAATTTGTTTATTTAATTTATCACGCTCGTTTATACGTTACTTCCTTCGTGTTATAGCCGATTAGCTTTTTGTGGTTTGTATTCAATTTTTTTCGATCGACCTTTTATGCCCCCAATGAATTGGTATTAACTTTTTGCGGGTACCATACGATTGTTTCTGATTTCTTGCTCGGTTGTACTACGGCCCAGGAAGTTAAGTTAATTTCAAGCTTCAATTTATATAAGTAGGCAATAGCCAATCAGATCCATTCTTCATACATTATTGAACTAATAAAGAAGACGAGTTGTAATATCTTTAATAACTATCATCTCGTACACTTTAAAACATTCGTAACGACGTGTAGGCAGTACAATTTTAATACAATACGCCTCTTAAGTATTAGCCAATAAAACACTAAACAAATTAATATCCTATTACACATAGGACGTTTCGTTAGTAGAGCGGTGCGTTAAGTGCCTGCCATACAAAAGTATTGGATTACCAGTT